TTAGGGGTTTAGGGTTTAGAGTTTGCGGTTCAGGCTTTGATGTTTAGAATAGGTTTTCGATTTTATGAAGTTTCTTGGAAGGGTTTCTGTTTGGTTTCTATTGAACACGTAGGATGAAGGCCGTCTATACAGGGTTGCTGAGTGGGTTACTAGAAGGGACAGTTACTATGAGGGCTTCCAGAAGCGCCCTAGGGTTTAGGATTCAGGGCTTAGTACGGCTTTTTTTTTTTGGTTTAGGGCTTTTGGCAAATTCGGGCTTGGGGTTTAGGCTCTAAAGTTTCGGACCTAGCTGGACTAATCAACCATAGACCGCAAACCCTAAACTCGAACCACTGACTGCTAGAAAGAAGGCAGCATCCCTAAACCCTTTTAGGCTTTTAAGGCTTTAGGGTTTAGGGTTTAGGGCCCTAAACCCTAAACCCTAAGCCAACTATAAGCCATAAAACACTACATGATTAGAACCGAGGCTTTCCTTTCCGACGACTTGGTTCACCGACAGCATCGCTCGCTTCTGGAACGCTTCCGCAGAGGAGGTGTTGCAGGGTCTTCAAAGCTGTTTTGGAGAGGTGCACAGTATCAGTGTCCTCATAATCGCCATCCCCTGAGTGTGATTGCTGTACGATCCCTGTCGGTTTTGCCTGTGATTGCTGTAGGATCCTTGTTGGTGTTGCCTGGGGTTCGCTATGTAAACGGAGTTGATGTGTTCGGTTTTGGGGTGTTGAGACCTTGTGCAAGTATTGCCCGGCAAGACCCTGTTCAAAGGCTGAACGTGAATTCTTCAAAAACGGTGGACTTTTATACACTTCTTGGGTTCTTATAAACAAGCCCTATCTTGAAAGTTAACCCTGTTGCTGTCGCAAGTTCTCTCACTCAGATGTGTGCTAAGGATTTCTTGTGCTTAAGGTCGGTTGATGTTGGCACCCGAAGGCACAAGTTTGGAGAGACCACACGCTCAGTGTCTCTGACTTTTCGTAAGCCGCCTGGATACAGTAATGCCAGAATGATGCAGTAATCCTATTACTTTGCAACCCTTTTGCACAGCCTGACTCTTCTTCCTAAAGAAACCCGAATCCAACAACATGGGTGGGCTTCGGCCTTTGTTAGTAGGGCCTTAGGGGTTTGCAGGGTTCAGGGGCTAAGCTCCAAATAGCCACCGAGCCCGCAAGCAGCAAACAACGAATGCTCGTATGATTCAAAAAGCTTCTTGCTCCTCCTCTCCTACTCTCTACACATCTCTCTGCCGCTCCCTAGAGAGATCTAGCTATCTGTCGATCTGCCGGTCTATCCATCTATTCATCTCTGCCTCACCCCTCTCTGAATACCTATATATACACACATACACACACACACACATACGCATGTATGCCTGCGTACATATGCCTACACACACACATATATATATATATGTTCAAATGTTTGTATGTGTGTATGTAAATTTAAATATGTATTTGCACATGCACATGCATAACTTTTGCATGCATGCATGCATTCATGTATGTATGCATGTATGTATGTATGTATGTATGTATGTATGTGTGCATGTATTGCATTGCACATGTCTTGGCCCACCAGGTGCAACAGTACGTTGGACATTGCATTGTGCATTGAATTGATGTTGCATTGCGCATTGCAGTTATTGGGTGACCTGATATTACAGTACACTACACCACACTGTACACTTTACACACTACACATTACCCCATTTACATTACATGAAGTTACATGGCAGTATATGACATTATCCGTGACATGATGTTACAAAGTAAAGTGATTTTCACATGCACACTATATCTACATGACATTGCATTACACCACAGAACATAGAACATAGGGCAAACTTATACTAGATGACACAAGATCCTCCCCTAGTCCTTAATTCACCATATTATAATGTTCCTCATGTCCTGATCCCCCAAACCCTGTACTACGGTTGATGATATAAATCCTGCATTACCCACAATAAGGAATATACCATAATTCCCACAGTTTTGGGTCCTTAAGGTAATGCAGGATTTATATCATCAACAGTATTTATTAAGGCCCCTTCTGGTCCGTATCTCCAGGACCAACCCGCGCGCGGCGGAATCTTCGCTGAGATCGTAGCCTCGG